GAATGGTCAAATTCAGGTGTTCATAATTCTCAGTGCGTTGTAGGTCTTTTTATTTATTGAGACAATGCTCAGGTGTTGTTGTTTTGCAAGCATTGATTATCTGTTTTAACATTGTAAAGTTACTAGGTCCGTGGTGGTGAACCTATGGCTCGGGTGCCACAGGTGGCACGCAGAGCCCTCTCTGTGGGCACGCGCACCGTTGCCCCAGTCCTAGGCCTTCAGCTGGGTTTTATAAAACCTTTTCGCTTTAGTCCTCCGTCGCCGTGTGAAAAAAAAAAAAGGTTTAATCAGTCAATTTCAACTTCTTGCGGGGAAAAAAAAGATCTTGCAAAGTTGGAATTGATTGATTGAACTTTTTAGTCCCACCCAGTCTGCCGTTACCACCGCAGCCACGCCCACCCAATTGGCCACACCCAGGCAATTGGACATGCCCACCCAATGGGCCATGCCCACCCGGCACCCGATGATACCTAAGTGGGTTTTGGGTTTCAGTTTGGGCACTTGGTCTCTAAAAGGTTCGCCATCACTGTACTAGGTGATAGGTGATCAACAAAAAATTTGGACTTTGCATGAGGTAAACGTGCATTTTGGGTTAGCTGTATAGAGCATACATTTCATTTCTACCTTAATGTTTAGTTTTTTTCATTGTTTTGTTGAAAGTCAATGTTTTTCCCTTTTAACAGGCATGGGTCACAGATGCAGTTCAGTCTCCAAGTGTGGGAAAAATCTGCCATGGAGGGAACAAAACACCATTTTGATTTTTTTCTCCTTATTTTTGAAGAGCATTTGTTTTCAAATTCTCAGAATAGAAGATAAAGCTGTAGCTTTTTGATCCCCTCCACAATAATTTGCTTTTTAATTTTAGCAATGTATGGTCCTAATAGCCACTTTTAAAGAGGCAGGTATGGAGGGTTGTCTAAAAATAGAAAAATCACAAAATCAGAATGTTCTTAGAAAATATAAAGATGTTCCACTCTTTGCATAACATCATCAACACTTAGCCATAGCCTTTAATAATGGCCTTGAAGTTTCTTAAATGCATTATGAAATGGCTGTTTATGTCTCTGAATTATATGACTTAAAATCTAAGTCTGCACACCCCATAAAGAATAAAGTTGCCTAGTATGTTTGTAGAATTGGTCTTCTGTTTGCTTTTGTTTTTAGAGATTGCCAAAACAAATAGAAGAACGTAATGAAAAACTTAAGGCTGAGATGTTAGGTAAGTAAATTTTGTATGTAGTTTGTTGATGCTGGAGAATGGTTTCTGTAAGGTTGTATGTATAAAACATCATGGTTTTTTTTTAAAATGGCCTTTTCTGTAGAATTTGTAGAATTTTATACTACCACAGACTCGTTTCAGATTCTGCCATCTTTAAAAAAAAAAGGATTTTTGTATATGTGTGTTTATCTTGTCAGATCATTAAAATATGGTTGGAGCTGGGTCACCCTGATCTGTACAGCTACAAAAATAGAAACAACATGACTACTGCAACAGTAGAAATACAAATTATTCATTTTGGCAGTAAGAAACAAGCTTTTATATAATAGCAAACAGCAAAATTGCTTCTGCCATGGGATCTGCAGGTTTAAAGTCATTCTGAAGATGGGAATAATAGACTGGGATACAGAAGCTAGTTGCAGATTTTATTGATAATTTATATCTAGCATATGGGTATACTATTTTTCTCATTAGTGAGCCAATTGTTTTGTGATGGTGATATTGTTATGTTCCTTAGAAAATAATACAATTTGTTCATAACAATGTGAAATCATTGTTGCCAGTTCTTTAACTGGTGTTGACCTTCATACACATCAAGGTCTAGGATGTCATAATGATTTGGCATAGTATATGTGTGGATCTAGGCAGCGTGGTCTTTTTTAACTCAAGATGGCAATTTTGTCAGTGCATAGATTTTTTAAGTGCTGTCCAAGATGCTTTGTTATGGCACCCAGTGGGATCAACATGGCCGATATATGTAATAATATTTTGATTTTCAGATCTTGATATTTGATACTTTGTGATTTCCATTTTTTTGGTATTTCCATATGAATTATCATTTTTTTTCTTTTCAATCACAGCTGTATTTAGTCTGTTATGAACCAAAACTTTATCAGTTTATATTTGGAAATCCTAAAATATATTAATTTGCTCATATTCAACTGCTTTTTCAACTATGTTTTCATCAATTTTTCATTACTGGCACATGGTAATTTTTATAGATGTTCCAGTGAATCATTTGGGTGACTGTGTTATGTCATTATTTATCATCAGTTTGTACAATCTTGTATGAGCTCTGTATATGATCTACTGTTTCTTCTGCTTCTTTGCACAATCTGAATTTTTAATCATTTGATCATTTTTCAATTCTGGCCTTGATTGCATTAGTTTGAATAGCTTGTTGTTACGCAGCCAACATTGAGCCTTCAGTTTCTTTTTTTTTAATGTTCCAGTTGTAAGCCATTGCCAGGTTTTAACTTTATCCGCTCTCCCCTCAATCTGTTGTAAAAATTGTCTAATAATAATGATGATGCAATACCAGGTGATGCACAAATTGAAGAGAAACAGTTAGAAAAAAATAACAAAATATTGTGATTTGGAAATTGAAGTTGAGTGACTATGGTGGAAGAAATCAATGGTTGTACCAATAGTAATAGGACCAATACCCCAAGGGCTACCTAGATGTATGGAAATTTTGAACTTTAATAACCTGAATATCCTGACTTTGCAAAATATCACCCTACTCGGAACTTCCTATATACTCAGATGCTACCTTAATAGCTCTTAGGTCCTTGGTTAGGACTTGAACTGTTAAGTTTTTATCAGTCCCAGGCTATAAATTGAATTGAACATTAACCATGATAATAATAATTAGATTTATTATACCATCCACTTTCCCAAAAATTTCTGAATGGTGGTGCAAAAGGTCATTTCACTCTGGACTACTTGTAGAGAGTTGATAATAGTTGTTGAAAGGTCAGTAAATGGAAAAACATCCAATTCCTTTCCATGCCCAATTCCTTTTCATTAGAAACTAGGTTTTGCTTCAGTATTTGTAACACTTCAGAAGGGATTTCTGAATTAAATCCCGAGTCTTATGCAGTCATTTTTTGAATGGTTCAAAACAAGATAGAACAATGTTTTTGTCTGAAATTGAAAAAATACTAGTAGTATTGTTGTAATTTCTAGCTGAATTTTGCTTTCAAAATGTTCTTATAGTTAAATAATAGTGAAACTAATATTTGAAGTATTTTTTTCAAAGCAATAGAACAGATTTTATGCTAGTTCTATGCTTATACTGAATCATACTCTTTGTGGATAGCTGATTTCAGTTTGTCCAAACTCATTGTTTGTTAAGCAAAGAGAAGGCTTAGCCAGCTCAGTCTTTTCCCTCTTATCATTCATCCACATGCTTGCTTTTGATTTTGTTTTTCATGGTCTTAAGCCAGTGCTTAATTTGGGCTGCTCCCGGTTTCAGTTCTTCATGAACTTTGTATTGTATAATTACAGTACTACGTTAAAGGACCACATGGGTTCTTCTCATCCTTTTTTAAATAAAAATGTTAAGTAAGGAGTTCTAGAATTTAGGATGAACACAGTAGCTGTAAATAATTGTGATTAAAAAGTTATGTTGGTAGTAGCAAACAGAGTCTTTCAGTTTGAAAACAAGTGTTTTGTTTACCACCGGTCTGTCCAAACCATGCTATGGGCATTATGAAGTTCACAGGAGTTGTACTAGTGCAAATGTAAATTTCAGATATGTAGCATCTCCCCCCCCCTCCTCCCCGGAGGCTCTCTTTAAAGTGACCATTTGCTGTTGCAAGTGGATGATATATAGAATATCACCCTTCTTACGTTGGCATTTCCTTTAAGATTTCCTTCTTCTGTATACTATCATTGTCAGAAGACATTCCCTTCCATTATTGTGATAATTTTTTTAATGTAGTTGAAGGTATGAATTTTTTTTATGTATGTATATTGCAGGCAAGCTGAAGGATCTTGGGAACCTGGTTCTCCGTCCTTTTGGCTTATCAACGGAAAACTTCCAAGTGAAGCAAGATTCATCAACTGGCTCCTACTCTATCAACTTTGTTCAAAATCCAAATAACAACAACCGATAACCCTAGCCCAAACTGCATGTGGCAAAATCTTGAGCTTTGAAGCTTAATGGTAATGTGGTTTCAGTGAACGCAAAAAGGATGAGTAAACTTTTAATGCGTAATGCCATTTTTTAAACTGGAAGGATTTGAACTGGGACCTATGCATTGTGTATGTGTGTGTGTGTGTAAGATTCTTTCAAAAGAGGTGGGCAGAAGAGGACTGTTATTTGACCCTTGCAGTGATGGTTCATGCACTTTGGGCACTCTGCATCTCCCGTCTGAGGAGGGATGGGGGTTAGCTTTGCAAGTTAGAAAAATGTCAGTGTGTCTAAACCTGTAGCCATAGTACAATCATTTCATCATTTGTGAAGTTTGTAAATCTCTTTGAAGGGCAGAGAAGTGTTTCTCTATTTAGAGAATCAACTTTTACAGTACAGATTAATAAATCATTCATGGTATTAGTGCCTGCCTTTTAATTCAAAATGGCCTTTTCAGTGTTAAATGTTTCATAACAGCTTAAATTCACTTAAATGAGGGAAAGTGCATGTTAGCACCTGCATACTACTCCACGATCCCCTCCCCAGGTGATTTTATTTTATGCTTTTTTTAGAAGACACTTTGATAGGCTTTTAAATACATCTATTTAATTTATTTATTTTGAAAATCCGAAAAAAAAAATGAGGGGGCGTCTAGTAAAACAATTCATGTTCTTGATCACCAAAAATATGTTAATTTATTTGCAACCTTCTCTGGTTATAAAGCAAGCTGCCTATCCCTGCTTGGACATGCCTACCAAACCTTTATGCTTTTTCAGATTGGTTTTCACAAAATGTGTCTTTTCTTGTAGAAGATATACAGACAGCTTGTTGTAATTTCTGTCAGTATCATAAAAAGTATATTACGATGTTTAAACATGCTTTTATTACATTTGGCTTCATCTTTAAGCAATAGAATGCAATTGTATAATTTGTACCAAACACCATTATTCACCAATAGTATTCAAACTAATATTATTAGTACACAGCCTTCATTTCAATAAAACCTCAAGATAGAATGTTTTGATAAAAGAAAAAGAAAATAGGATGCATTTATTTCTGAGTTCTTCCTATATAAGTCCCTGCAGTTTGTCAGTTCATAGCCACATTGTTTCTTTCGGATTTAAGAATCTATCATGCAGTATAGACTTGCAAACAACAATTGAACCCTTGAGTGCAGCTGATAATTCTACATGGTTAAAACATCTTTTTGCAAATTTGAATACATACTTACTGTTTATATGCAATTCTAATATATTCGGAGTAAGAAAGCAGTAAAAAATGGCACATGAAACATTTATATATCCTTTATGTTAGTATTTTGTAACATCTTTGGCAAGAATAACAGCTTCCAAATATTTCCTGTAGCTAACTGGGTCTGTTTTTGCTTTTGGAATTTTTCTTCTTCTTCCATGCAGAACACTTTAGTTGAAAAAATTATTGTGTCTTCTTCCACACGCTGTTTATTTGAGATCTCCCCACAGATTTTTAATAGTACTCAAGCCCAAGAATTGTAGGCCATTCTAAAATGCTAATCTTTGTTTCTAATAAGTACTTCATGGTTCACAAATAGAGTTGTTTATGCCAATAGTGATTTGCATGGGAGGGCTGGCAAAAAAAAAAAGCCTTTTCTTTAACATCATCTCAAAAATAATTATCTAGAAATCCTTGATAAACCTGAAACATTCTGGAAAAAGTATTTTGGGCCAATGAAACAAAAACTGAACTTTTTAACCACAATCACAAAGAGAAAAAAGAGGCGAAACATTTGGAGAAAAAGAAACATTTCTGAATGGTAAGCACAGGGTGTCTCTATATGCTGTGGGATTATATGACAGCCACTGACAGGAAACATTTTGTGAGTGGAAGAATGAAGAGGTTAAATGAAATACCAAGATTCCTAGAAATTATTGTCCATAGTTAGTGAAATAATTGAATTTGAAAAGAAGCTGGATAATTGAGCAGGACAAACACCTTTAAGTGTCTCCAGACTTTGAAAGTGGAACATCTGTGAGATCTCAATTTGAAGTGCATACCAAGAGACTTAAGAATTATTTTCAGCTTGAAACTGCAAGGAAGAAAGGGGGGGGGGGAATGCCAAGATTTTGTACAGAAAGACTATTAGCTGCTACAGAAGTATAGGGAAGGAGGAGTTTTAAAAAGAGACTTTGCCAGTTGCTGCATTCTCTGTTTATATGGTTGAAAGAAAATAGTTAAGATAGTGCTAGGAGAGTTTGGAACGAGCTGAACAAATTAGGATAGGCCAATGAATGAAATATGACCGAGAGCAGCACCGGTGGCCTAGAGATGGAGCTCTCACCTCACAATCAGGAGGCTTCCATCCTACGTAGCGGCAGATCTTACTCTCTCTGGATGCAATGAGTAATCTGCATAGGCATCAGGAAGAGCAGCAGGGCAGTAAATGGAGCACTGTTCAGTCGCCCCAACTCTACCACGATGCAAGGAATTACAGGGTTGTTGAAAGAAAGAAAGAAAAATAATGAAATATGACCAAGAGATTATAACTGGAAGCTGTTTTATACCTATAGTGATATTTCCCTATCACTGAGATCTATTGGCTATGTTGGAATGTGCAAACATTTTCAATTAACCTGCTTCAGGTTAGAGTGGAGACTGGAAAGGCGATTATTTGACTGCCCAGTGTGAAACTATACAGAAGAGATGTTGGTATGGCTTAAGAGATGTGTGATATGGTAGCCATCATACATTTATCTTTTTAAGTTCTGCTCATAGGAGAGGCAAAAACAGGACTGGACCTGGGAAGTACCTGAAGGCTCATTACCAGCAGACTTGCAATTACTAGTGGTTGAAGATATAGGATGTTTTGATGAATTGGCAATTGGAAAGGGAATTTAAGACTTGTTCAACAGTCTAGTATTAGCAATAAAGTAGAAGAGACCGAGAACATCAACAGCATATTAGTATGTGCTACTATTTGCCAGTTAGAAGATGGTGGAGTTGGAAGTGGAAATCCCTATTATTTCTCTGGGTGTGCCTGAAAGTCACAACAGAGAATACTGTCTTCGAAGTTTGGGACTCACTACAAGGAGAGATATATTGTCTGGCCATGGTGTTGAACATTTTTGGATGAACCCTTAAAAGACTGAATCTCTTTGATACTTAAGATGATGCCTGATTTTTACCTACATCATATTTTTAACCTAAGTGTGCTGTCTTTGTATACAGATAGGGGAATTCACTGGGTGTGAATGGATAGGTTATTTACCTGAGTGAGGTAGCAGGAGGAAGCAGGATTCTCTTGAAGTAGTAGTGGGATGGTAATCTGGAATTTAGAGATTCCAAAGAGATGCGAGATGGTGAACAAAAAGTAGTGAATTGGGCACAGTATAAGTGGTGGCACTAGATTACTGATCTCCACGTGTGATTGATGGATTGTTTGAGTGGGATGATTGAAATTAGTTGGTGGCCTTGGACTGAGGGAATAGAAGTTAAGTGGAGAGAGTAACATGATCCTGCTAGTGACAGAATGGGGAAGATATGATGCAGGATGCTAGGTTTGCTGTTCTAAGGGAAAGAGATTGCTGGTAATCTCATTTCTGGCACAGTAGCCCCTCACCGGGCTTTTGGCAGTGGGAATGTTGATGGTAACTGTAATGAGTCTGTGCTTATCTATAGCTTGATGGAAGAAGAACAGGTAGACCTCATGTATCTTACTGGGACCTCTCTGAGCAAGGGCACCAATGTTGTTCTCTTGGAGATTCATTCTATTGTGTTTCATGTTGTTCATCAACTAGTGTCAGGAAGGGAGCAGTGCCACTGAGCTACAAAAATACAGTGAGCAAATGTAAGTGCCAATTTATTACACTGAGCTGTAAGAACAAGTTAAAGATCCTGCTGGCTGATCAGCATGATCTTTCAATGGTTTCTGGACCTGATATTATTGGCATTGGAATCATTTGGCTTATTGATACTGGGCAGTTTCAGTTACCATGTCTTGAGTGTTGGGTCTGGACAGATTTGGGAATACATGACCTCCAAGCAACCATCACTTTGTGTCTTGTGATGTCAGTCCCAACATATTAAGACAAAACTTCAGAACAGTTGCTTAGTGATCTGCATATGGAGAATATAACATTTAGTTATTTGCCCTGATCAGATCACTTCCTGGCCAAGATAATATTGCTATCCGTGATCTCTGTGGGGTGAAGAAGCATATTCATATGGCCTGTCCCATATGCTTTATCGATCCAGGTGGATTATTGGGGGTGAACTTGAATAATTTCCCACAGCTTGGCAATAGGGGACCACCTGGACTCTCAGTGAGATTGGTATTGGGCAGCACTCAAAAGCAATCTACAGTGTTTCACCAAAGTTTTCAAGATATCTAGCCCATTAAATGGCTTACCCGCTTATCACCGAGACAAATTAAATTACAACTATAAGCCAACTAGACTGGAGAATAATGAGGAAAATAACACCATCTATTTAAAAGTAAGGAGACATGTTGTATTCTCCTGCTGCAGAAAGATACTCCCTCCCCCTTACCTGTTCTGTAAAATTATAAACTCTAGAAGTGGTGTAATCTACATTGCTCAGAAAGCAACTGTCTTCTGTTGGAATTGCTGTTAGCTAGTTCTGCTTAATATTACAACTTTCATTAATCTTTTACTGTCAAAGAACCAACAGATGAAGAGACAGCAACATTGCTTCTGATAACTTTTTAAAAGTGCAGAGAAAACAAATCAACATTTTAGTTCAAAACATGGTACACAATAATTCTTGAATATTTAACTTCAGGCAAAACTGTAAAAGTTTAATATTTTTCCTTATTCAAGTCTACCAAATAAACGAGGCGCAGTGACATAATATACAGACATAAAAGGTAACATGAAGCAAAGCTTAAATATTAAGCAACTAAAGAAAAAAGTGAAAAGCAATAGATTACTTCTACCACTAAAAATTTCCCTGACAGCATAATCTCAAAATGAAAACCAACGTGGTTGCAGTTCAATTCTTCATGAGCAATACAAATAGTCATCTCTATTCCAAACTTAGCCCCCTTCTTCTCCACATCATTGAATTGCGGTAAAATAGGCAGAATTGGTGTGTGTGTGAAGAAAAATAAAAACAGCTCTGGCTAACAGTGGGATGTTGTCTATGCAGGCACTATTGGCTCCGCCCATAATCAATATATGTACCCTCGTTTGTATAGATTGATACCATTTTCCTGAGTAGAAACTTATCACTTTGTGCCATGGTGACTCCCTCAAGCTTTATGCATTTTTCAAGCAAAAACACATCATTTTAAATTAAGATGCTTTTTAAAAAGCATTTTTCCTCCAGAATAGATAACACTGCATTATATCATTAAAGTTTCTTTCAGCCTTTTCTAATAACCTTTTTTGAATGAAAAATTATAAAAAAAAAAGCTTATACCATTTCTCTTTTGCTTTAACATCAGTGAAAAGAGTACTGCAGAACCTTTAAAAGTCACCAAATTTCTTATGAAAGTGGGCACAATTGAAATTACTATTAGTCATTATTACGCAGGACTTTTTAAAAGTAGGTGCTCTGGAATCTATAAATACTTTTAAAAAATGTTTTTATAGATAATTATTAAATCTTTCAATATAGACTTGTAATAAACATCTTCCCCTTGTTTCAAATGCTATTTAAAATATAAATCTGTTACTAAATAAAATAAAGAGGAAAAGTTATGATTGCAACTTGGAAAATTTGCTGTATTTGCTGGAATATATAATTTTAGGGAAAAAATTAGTTTAATGTATTTTAATATCCTAAAGACTGAAATCTATATATTAGAAGGCATCCTTGTATTCACATGAAAGCTGTTAATTATATCAATCTATATATTGTGCATTTTTTTGACATCACTTTGTCAAGTTAACTGCTGGATTTTGCTGCCGACACAAGGATTTGCATACTTTCAAAATGAGAAGCAGTTTAAAAATACTGAACAAGTAATTCTTTTAGGCTTTCAGTGTAATCCAGTGAAAATTTGGCATAACTTATTCTCATTGAAATGTGAAACCACATTGCTGTTAAAGACTCAAGTCCTGTTGAGAAAAGATTAGAGGCTTCCTGGGATAAGAAACTTTCCTGTGTAAACCAGCTAAACTTAAAATGCCAAGGAAGTCTCAGTGGAACATGTTAGTTATGACTAACTTAATGTGCAATACATCACTGTGCTATAAAAAGAAATGTCATGACTTTGGATACCAATTACTATTCCATCTTAACAGTACCTGTTTGTGGCAGAAACTGCTGGGCGGACACAAGCAAATACAAGATCTGTACCTTGTGATACAGTCTCTTTCACTGCTCATTTTAAAAATGAGCCTCTGTTCTAGCCATCAAACTATTTCCAAAAGGGATGGTCTTTGCCACAATTACTCAAGGTAGAGTTGTTTATTTTTGCCCCTTGTTGCTCTCTTTATGGAAAACCTTAAGTCTCAGAACACATCTGTCAGCACTTATTAACACAGTTGAAGGATTACAGCTCTGCTAACACTTGCACTAAAGACTAATGTTTGTCAAGATGTAAAATGTAACACATACTAAGAACAAAAGTAAATGTTCAGAATTTTACAGCCAACATTCCAGGTGTCTCGGTCAGTTACCGATGCCCATTCAGACAACTGTATTTGAAGAGTAACATTACACTTCGTGATCCTTTATCCTCATACTTCAAGCTGCTCCTTATATGTTGAATAGGCTACTTGGTTCATGCCTTCGTTTATTGCAAAAATAGTTTATAAAATATCAACATTTTAGTTCTGAAATACAACACATACAGATTTCCTGGAAATGGGGCACAATTTGTTTTTTAAAGAAGTATGTCAGCATACACCATATTCTGGATTGCAGAGGAAAGTGGCATATCAGGTGTATGCAATTTCTGGTTAGCTGACAGACTTCATGCCAGTGCAAGAAAGTTCCATAAGTACAGCAGATGATTAATGTCTCTGAGCTGAAAAAGAAAAATATGAATTTATATTTTAAGCTTATTTTCACACGTTCATACTATTATAGAACTGTTTTTTTTTAATGGATACAAATTTGTTCTGAAACAATATTGAAGAAATTTAAACTCAATAACAAAGCTAACACAATGTGTCATCAGCAATTTTTCCTTTCTCATATATTTTGTAACCTTTATAAAATAATTCTCTATGATTGGATTCCATAGGAAAATGGAGGTGAGTGTACTTTGAAGATCCTCTAGGGATTTCATAATATAGGTAATCTAACATCCACATGTTTAAAATATCCAATTGTCTCATTTTTGAGCCATACCATCAATGATATGTGATAAAAGTTGGATTTGTTAAAAATATAATTAAAAATTATATTTAAATTAGAAGTCAAGAAAAGTAGGTTTGATAAGACTCAAAAGATTTTGAATGTTTTATAACATTAAAATGGACAAAGAAAAAAATATCAGGAAAGTAAGAGGCAGCTGGACTATTTGGCATCAAGGACGTTAAAAGAATATTAAAAAAATAAGGCATTTGCAGAAAAGCTTACTCTTCGTCGTAGTTCATTATAGAATTAGTCTTGCAACTACTCATCAAAACTGAAATTTTTAGGAAAGCAATTTGAGGAATTATGGTAAATATTTGTGAGTAGGGATTATATCCTAAATAGAAAGTATTGATTATCCCAAAAGCTAGCTCCAGACATCCCCTCCCCCTGCCAAAACTTGATCCAGATGATATTCATAAAGAATTCTTAATTCAAATGTGAAATGGCTGATATTTAAAAAAATAAAAATAGGTGGCATTATTCTAGATTTATCTTTGTATTAAAACAAGTGGAGAAAATAGCATAATGCTAGAAAATTACAGATAAATTGGGTTAATATCTAGTCCAGTGGTTCTCAACCTGTGGGTCGGGACCCCATTTGGGGTCGAACAACCATTTCACGGGGGTCGCCAAACAATGCAGTCCGCCATTTTTTCCCCCTTTTCCTTAGCTGTGCTACTCCCTTTTATTCTATTGGCTTTTGAAAGCCAATAGAATAGACTGTCTTGAATAGAATCTAATTCTATTGGCTTTCAAAAGCCAATAGGAATTGTCCAGGCTGTCTCGGCCCTGCTGAGCCTGCCAAAAGTCCCATTCTGCAAACGGTGCTGTAAGTTGTCTGCAGCGAAGGCGAGCTGTCTGGAAGTTTCCACCCCTCCCTGCTGAACAACTACTAAAAATGTAAGTAAAAGAGGGCCAGGGGTTGGAGGTGGCAGGCCAGCAGGCGCAGGGAGTGTTGCTGGCGTGTGTGGGGCCCGGTGGGTGCCTTACCTCCCTTGGGTTGAGCCAGCTGGTGGCCCAGCCGGTGGTCGGCCTGCTCCATCTCTGCCGCTTGCCAGCTACGCCTCGGCCGGCGCAGGGGGCGGCACCACGCATGCGCAGCGCTCCCAGGCAGGGAAAGTCCTCGACTTATGACCGGTTGTTTAGTTCTCGACTTACGACCTGTTTAGTCCTCGACTTACGACCGGTTGGGGGTCGCGGCATTAAAAAGGTTGAGAACCACTGATCTAGTCTGATAGACAAGTCTTGCAGAAGAAAAATCAACATCTATAGAAAAGTTTTATTCCACTAACATTTTACAAATAGGAAGTGGTAAGTGCGTGTTTAGGCCAGGGATATGCCACTTAGTAGTGGGCATGGGGGAGCACACTTGAATTTGAGATCATGTGTTAGGCACACACTCAAAATAGCCATATGGAGACTTGCTTATTCATCAAATGACAGCTATAGTCACAAAATACTTTAACAAAGTCTCTAATCCATGTTTGAATCATAATTTATAGACTATAAAATTATAGTCATCCTGACCATAGCATCTGGTCCAAATTACAGAGATGTATGTTATACTATAATCATAATGCCAAGGAGGCAGATTGCATAATTTGTATAATGTATATGACAATGCATGTGACATTCCCTCCATCTTGATGAAATGAAAAAATAACTCCTGGATTGACAAAAACTTGAAGGACAGAACACAGTGAATAAATGTTCAGTTTGGAATTTAATGCTTTCAAAGTGATGGAATGATGATGAAAAGTCTCAAAACAATTTATCATAACTGGAGAAAAAGTCCTTATAAAAAAGTGAAGTAATGCATATTTGGGTGGAATCATTAAGAGAATGTGTTGGGGATGCTTAAAAAAAAAAGATACTTAGTTTATGACTGCTATGAAGATGAAGAATTCTGCTGGAAATTATTGATATTGTAGAAAAGGTGAAAAGAGCAGGTACCAAAATGAAAAAAGCATTGAAATATATTCTCTATAAATATATGAAACTTTTAGAAAAAAATGAATAAAAGATACACAAAATCATATGGAAAAAAGGAGAAAATTATTCTTATAATCCAGTGTCTTCTAATTCTTCTAAAATATAGATTTGTCCCAAATGGTATTGTTCATAAATTAAAAGCAACTATGTCCTCTTTTGCATGAGATCTGCCAGACCATTTAGCTATACTATTGTTTGCTTTGAAATAATTTGTGCTAGAATTTATTTGTAGTGTTAGCCATGAGATGCATTAAGATGAGCAATCCTAAACTCATATGTAAAAGCAGGAAACCCTAACATAGCCAATAGAAATCTAATGCTAATATTTTTCTGTACCTTGGATTCAAGTAATAGACTCCCTAATATACTATGTTAAATACATAGCTACTGATGTCTTAAACTAAAATGACACCGGAAGCAAGGAAGGATAATCGGGGGGGGGGGGAAGTCAATATAAGACAAAGTTTGTCAAAGAGTTTTAGCTTTCAAGAGAAACACATTAGCACTGCAGGTAGAATAGTACACTGTAGTATGTCCAAGGACAGACACATTGTATTCTAGAGGTTCCTTATCACAGAACCACTTCACACTGCTCAAAGTGGAAACAGCAGCAATTATATTTGTTCCGTTCTAACTACTCCAGATCCTTTCCATGAATGCAGACTCCTTCAAATGAGGCCAGCTGGGAATAATTAACAAGAAGGACACTTCTGAAAAAAACAATGTCCAAATTTCAGACAGTACTGTTAGGAACTGTTATCCTCAAAAGGATTTTGGATAATGAAGCTATTGGAAATGAGGAAAGTCATAAGTGCAACTCAGAACATTAGAAAACCACACAATACCAAAAAAGAAAAACCTTCCGACAGGATAGATTTCAGAAGAACCATCTTTACAGTAAGTAATGGCAAATATGATGTTGAAGATGCCTCTATTGCATCAGTTCTATTTAATGGGAAAACAGCAAAGAATTCTGATTTAAGATGTCTAATTCCTCTAATTTTTAACACCCAATTTTTCAGCCTCTCTGGTTCTAGTATTCTTATACTACTATCTGCCATTAACTTGATTCACTAATATTCAATTCATCACTTATAAAGTGATGGATGCACGAGAGAGAAGTATACAGGATTATAGTTGATTTGACTTTGGGTTGCTCCAACCATTAAGAATGAAAAACATTTTTATAGCCCTGTGATTTAATAGCATAAGATGAACTGTGGTGGATCAGACCAAAGACCTACTTTATCAAGTGTTCTCTACTCAAATTGGCCAACCACATAACTATGCAAAATCTACAAGCCAGATATATCTGGCAAGAGCACAATCTTGTTCCCCAGTGCTTGTTTTTAGACATTTTTAGTCTTACCATGATTAAAGGGTAGCTTATCTTTTATATATTTGTCTAATAAAAACTTTAAATCCATCCCTGATAACAAAACTGATTAACACCAGGTTTGAACTGAGCTCTTGTATATAAATATATATAAACATTGAGTTCAAAATGCACACAATTATGTGTTATACTATATACTTCAGTGATGCATGCATTTTGTTCCTGCTGGACTGATGGCAATGCTTTTTGAACATTCAAGAACACAGAACATTCCTCTTATAGAGATTATTGGCAAAGTGAATTATTGGCTTGCCCAACTCACTGAAATATTTGTGCTTTTGCATTACAGATTCAAATCTTGCACTTTATTGTACTCAATTTTAGTTCAACTTAGTGTTATTTTTCATAGCTGGATTACTATTAAGGTACAGGTGGAACACTTATATGTGAACTCATTCTAAGTGCTGGAGTAATTCCATTACTTTTCTTATTTTATTGTGCTACCTTGCTTGTATAGAAGTGCTTTTTCCTTCACTTTCAGCTCATCTAGATACAGGCTCTGGACTATTTATCACTTCTTTTTCTAGCAAAAACTAGATTTCTCATTTTGTTAAATGAGTGTATTATTTTAATTGCTTGACAACTCTCAATGACATGTACTTGACCTTTCCCAAGCACACTTTTGACCCATCACCAGGCTCCCAGAGGACTCATTTACTGAGAAGATTAATATTCAATAAGAGCTTGTTAAAATAAACATACTAACACAATCCTGATTAAAACATTTCTATGGATAAATGATCAAGGTCATAATCCAAAGAGTCATGTTCATACATTCTACTAATTTATTTTTCTCTAAAGATTGGTCATTAGACAGTAGATTAGGTAAACAATATCAGAGGAATAGCATTGAATCTGAAAAATGCCAAGATACATGAGATGTTAAGATTTTTTGGAGTTAGGATATACCCTATGCTTTTCTTGATTCATGGTCTATTGACACAATTAAGAGATAAGCAGTGAAGTGGAAAGATATGAGGCTTGGCCCAGAGAAAACCGAGCTCAAATCTCCACTTTAATGTATATAATACATAAAGATGTAAAAGGTATGTGTGAAAAAAAAAATACACACAAACATATATGTGTACACAGAGAATATAAAAATATAAGCTATATAAATATATAATTTATAGTTGTACACATTTATAGTTTTATTTACAATGGAACTCAGTGGGCGACCCTCTGAGTCTCACCTACTCATAGGATTATTGTGGGGATGAAATCAGGGGAAAAAACTATTATACCGAGAATGAGCATTCACAAAAAAGCAGGACATAACTAGTGAACTTTAAAAATGAGATTAAACGAGCAATGGTTTAAAAGCTTGATTCTTTGTTGGTTTTACTGTGAACTATTGTAGCTTTCACTATAGTTACTGCAGCTAAGCAGACTAAAAATAGATCAATTACAAGTTGCATGAAAAGTTCCTCTTTCATCTGCCAATAGCCCTATAGAAGTTGTAATTCCGCAAACCTTATGCAGAAAATGTAAGCAACTAATTTCCACTAAAATGTGAGCACACAACTCGTGTAGATCATGGTAAGATTCTCACAGCAAGATGAAATGGAGTTTAACATACGTATGAAGGGAATTACAGTTTTACATCCTTTATACAGATGCAAGACCATCATCACTATTTCTTCCATTAAAGAAATTGCTGAAATGGCACAAGAAATTGCCTTTTAAACAATTTGTTCAATACACTATGCAAACTACAAGACACTGCAGTAGTCCCTAATATCAAGCTTAATCAAAAGATGTAGTCAATTTTTACCTTATCTGAATTTATGTACAAAGAACCTGATCATAAAAATTGTATGTATGTGTTACCCTATTAGTCTCTTCTGTAGCTTCTTCAGTCTCTGAAAAGCACATTGGGATAGGAGAGATTAACCCCAAATTTGGGACTTACAAAGCTGTAGCTGATAGAAATCTCAATTATGCTCCTAACTCCTGCATGAGAGAGACACTTTCTCCTCAAAAAGATGGAATTTCAAACAAGTGTTTATTTCATTTGGTACTTCAATAGTTGCTTCTCCCTTCAAAAACAGCCATCGTAAATCACGTTCATTACCTTGATGCCTTGCAATGAACAGTAATATTCATTACATGCTGCATGACATCTACAGTATATGATTTTTAAAAGTTAACCGCATAAATCGAGACTTTCATAGAACATAAAATGACATGAAGCCATGGCCAAAGACCTCAATCAGAATGTCATTAAAAATTCAAACGTATTTAGAACAAATTTTTTAAAAGGCACCAGTCTATGAAGTAGCAAGATATGTGAGAGAAAAGAATACTGAAAATAAGAACTGATTCCTGCTTGATAATGGTAAAATTGTGCATTTCCTTCCAGACTGTAAGAATTCTGTGACACTAGAGAATTTTAATTCTGTAGCATAGAAGCACAACCTAGAGCTACATGTGGCTCCTGCAAGCCTTAGTGATCCAGAGACCTGCAGTGTTATTTTTTTTTAATGTGGCAAAAAGATTAAATACTCGATTTGGGAGTAATATTATCTTTCATTAAATTTCAGTATTGATGAAAACAAGTCAAATGTTTATCTTGGCCTCAGGATAATTCTGGGGAATGCATCCCAAGCACTCCCTTCAAGGCCATTCCTTGGCTTGGAAAAAATTAAGCATTCGGTTGAAATTAATTTCTGAATCTATTAGTAGAACATCTGGTTCAGAAATAGGGTTCCAAGTTAGAAGGAGCAAGCATCTATTAAGAGTACTTCCATAAGATGGTACGAATATTTAACTTGATCATATCTGGAGAGCCAGTCCACCCATTACAAATTCAGAACAAACTTTGATTGTCCACAGCAACCCTACGCCAACCTACATTTTCAAGTTTATTGTAAACAGTGAGTGTATTTTAAAAAATAATCCTGAGCACAGCCTGCCTTTAAAAAAGACACAGCATGTTTGGCTCATTGAACTACTACATTGGTTTCTGTTTGCAGGAAAGAGAATACATAGTATAAGACTGAAATAGGACTGCATGCCATTTTGTGTGTTTTTTAATTTCAAAAAGCATTGGCTGACTGAATGCAAGTTTATTAATAGATTTGGAAGCTTACAACAATTGAGCATTGTCAAATGGAGTACCTCAGGAAAGCAGAGAAATTTTCTAAAGCATATTTGTAAAATAGCTATACAGTTTAAAACAAGTATTTTGGAAAAACTGAATTAACATTGCATTATAATGTGAGACATACCTTAGCATCAGTCACAACAGAGCCTTTAGTCATTATTTCTTTGGACTCCATATGTTGGCCTGATTTTTGTTTAGCACTGTCTTTTTTTTTCATAGAAAAAATATCTACTCATGGAACTCAGGTGTAAATTTTAGGGCAATAAAATTAAGCCCTTTAATAACAGTTAAATGCAAAGTGGTAGAATCTGTTGCACATGCTATCTAATTGAATTAACTCCATTTCACTGCCCAGTGCAGAGCATGAGACAAGCAGAATATTTAATAGCAAGAAAACATTCAATAACACAGGTTAGAAATATAATCCAGGAAGGTACTTCTTACAGAATTACTGATAGACATTTAGGGAAAAACAATTAAATTTTTAAAAATAATAGAAATGTTGTAATTTGAACACCATTCTTTTATAAGCAGCTAACAAAGCCAGTTTAGTTACTGATGAGCAAGAAAAAATGATTTCCTTCAGAATGTCTCCTCTAAGCATTGCATAAACAGACCAGCCTCACTTCCTGAGTTTTCTTCAAGGCTTTTTGAGAAACACACACAAATAATTAGATTTAGTCAATTTTATTTACATTTTTGTACATTTCAGAGCATTACACAATTACATTTTCCATATTTTCTGACCTGCAAACAGATACCTTAAATTGAAATATTTTTAAAAAATGCAGTCTGATACATCCAAATGCAACAATTACACATCTGACAATTCACAAAGTGTAATTTACTAGGACGTATCCTAAGGATTTAAGAACAAGTAGTCAGGAAAAAAAATCTGACTAATTATTTACACAACACAAAATTCTCAAGCTAACCCTTAGAACAAATGTCCTAGGAGCACCCTCCATTCCCCAACAGGAAATTATATAATTCACACTTAATGCAGCATTAACAGTCCTTGATCCCATACATGCAAGGACTGTCCAGGTCTGATGTGAGCAACCGGCTTTCTCTTACACTTGCCAAAACCTGAAGAGTGTATGTTTATCCTTGGGTGCATAGCATAATTTTGAGCATTTGAAAAAAAAAGTGACCACAGACTTATTTATTATCAAGTCTACCAGAGTTCCAATTAGACTGGTTTCTAAAGGAATTAAAGTGGCCAGCAGGAACAAAAGCAGTTTTAGGCATAGGTGAACTCTTTGGGCTCACTTCCATTGGGAAAAATCACACAAATAAAGCTTACAAGTGAGACAGAAACTAGGATTCTGCATTTAAGGTGGACTGTCCAGTTAAGCCTGCAAATCCCATCCCTTTAGATTGATTTCCCTCCCATCTCCACCTTGAAATGGTGTATGTGTATGCGTGTGTGTGTGTGTATGTATGTATGTATGTCTGTCTTTGGTTATTCGGGTTTTCTCCCGCGTCAAATTGGAAGTGTCTTGGTGACGTTTCAACAAAGTCTCATTCGTCATCTTCAGGCTGGTGTTTTCGGCTTCGTGCTTCTAGGAGCACGAAGCCGAAAACACCAGCCTGAAGATGACGAATGAGACTTCGTCGAAATGTTGCCAAGACACTTCCAATTTGACGCGGGAGAAAACCCGAATAACCAAAGACCTACATACAAACACCCGCGAAATACACACACACACACACACACACACACACACACACACACACTGGATAGAAACTAGTAAAAATTCCCTGCAAATAAACTGCTCTCCAGCTGAGGTTATGGCTCCTATGCATGGGGTGGGCAAAGGAACTTAACTTTTACAAAGAAACGTAAAGAGTTATCTTGAAAAATACTGAGCTCTCGCTTTAGGTTAATCTGATTGCATGTACAATTTTTTTAAATTAAGGTTAACTTTCAGTCAAGACATTGCTACAAGTGGAAATTTCAGTATAAAAAGCAGCCAACTGAGTGCATTTTTTTTTTTTTTGTATCTAATTGGCCCAAGTCCTTCAAAATAGTTAACTGGGTTAGACATGCCGTGGGGCCTCCCCATTTCTTGCCTACCTTACTTTGTTCATGTTTCGAACTGTGTCAGCAGGGCCCGAACTTCAGGAGTTAGCTGCTTAGCAGCCTTGGCTGCTTCTGTAATGGCCTTGCGGTAAAGACCTTTTCTCTTCTTATTAAATCGCGACTGAAAGTTTTCTAAAAAAGGGGAGAGCTGTGAAAGAGCAAGAAAAGATGTTGTTGGGGACCCAAACCATGAAATACGAGCTTCCTGTCGGACTAATAGGCCATTATCTTTTCGGCTCACAGTTATAGTAAGAATACGGGCTGGCCACCATGGGAAGCCATATATCTTGGCCCAAACAATGTCTCCTACACATATGGTCCTGCCATCTGGTGTGACACATTTAGAGACATTTTTTGAAAAGACTTTCATTTTCAAAGAATTACTGAGCTTTTTCTCTTCCTTTAAAGAGGAGGAGGAGGAGGAAGAGGAAGAAGGTGCATGCATACTGCCTGGAGGAAAATCAAAGCTTTCAGTAGTGCTACACTCAGAATTGGAGGACTTCAAGTCATCTGTGCTATCACTACTACAGACTGATGCACTGGAAGAGTCAGGTTTCTTTTTATTAAGGGTCATGTAAACTGTAATATTGCTTTTGCTGCCTCTCTTGCCCATGGTCTGCTGTTCATCCTGATCAACAGGTATATGCACTTCATTTGTGTCCTGAACCTCACTGCTGGCCTCTTCAGGACCTTCTGAGGGGCTCTGATTTTCTGAAGGGGCCTCACCTGCTGAGCGGGTAGACGAGCAGCGAGACTGGGGCTTAGCTGCCATCTTGCCACTCTGCAATTTCTCCAGCCCTGTCTTGAGAGAGGAGTCATTTTCTTCATTTCGGTACCTTTGTGGCTTCAGACGCAATCGGGGAGGCAGAGAACCTGAGCTGGTGTTCTGAAGACGCCGCGTGAAGTGGACCTTTGAATGTGCATTTTTGGAAGCTGAAGTTGCACTCTGTTTCTTTTGTGCCTTTTCTTTGGCTATTTTCAAAACTTCCCTAGCTTTTGCATGATCCATGTTTTTGCTCTGAAGAACTTTTTTAGTATTCAGTTGGTTTTTTGATGTATTTGCTTGAGTGGGAACTTTGACTACTCTGCTTCTGTTGTGGACAATATTTGCAACTTTGACCACAGAATTCTTTTTCTGGCTTTCACTCTGACTTTTCCCATCAACTTTATGATCAGTTTTAATTTTTTTATTCACAGTAGTTACGCTCTCATTTCTTCGTTTCCTAGTATCCTCACACCTTGAGGAGTCACTTGCATTGCTGCCCTTCTTAATTTCTTTCTTTTCTGCAACAACACTGTTCTTACATTTGTCACATAAGACCTGTCTGGGTCGCAATTTGATAGCATTCATAATAGAAGTGGGTTCCTCCCTGTACAATTTTCGCTTGGGCCGCTTAATTTTTCGAGGTGGAGGTTGAGGTATTGATTGGTTATATGTGTCCCTGATAAACAAAGGAGGAGGGTATGGAGCCCCCACATGGAAAAGGGGAGGCGGTTTGGAAGTCCATAGGCTTTTAACCAGGCTATGTTCTGATGGCTGGATGGGAGAAGAGTCTGTGACAACACCGTTAGCTTCACGTTTCACTTGCGTCTCATCTTGGAATGATTTACTTTGGAGCTGCATGGCATCAGGTTTATCCTTGTACTCCCGTTTGGGAAATATAGTCACAGGAATTCCGTGAGGTCCAAACCTTAATAAGAGAGAAAAACACAGTTAACTGACAACCTGTTACCTTTTAGTAGTTTATTTGAAGAACATTTTGAATACCATAATATACTCAAATTTAAAGGGCATTCCATGGCCCTTTACTACCAAATGAGAGCTGTTTGACTGACTCGAATGGCTTTAAAAAAGATTATAAGTTTATATTCATCAAGAGTTTAAATTTGACGTTCACATTTTTTGATTTTATGATTTAAGGCAATAGCTTCTAAATTGTCAGTCCTGAAATACCTTTTTCCATCCTGGTCTGCTTGCCCAAAACCCCATATGAACTGGAAAGGAAGTCAAATGGCAGAAGACTGCAAGTGAGAGTGTGTGTGTGTGTGTGTGTGTGTGTGTGTGTGTGTAATGTGCACTGCACAACATACAGATAGGCAAGTTCTCATTCAAACAAATTACTTTTCTAAGTACAAAGTATCAATTCACTAGATGGTTATGCAGTCCATATACGAGGTTGAGTATACATGAGATTCTTTCCGGCTTGTATGTACAAAATCTGATGAGAACTCAAATACTTTTTTCTGTTCTACCTAGTAATAACCTAGATAACTGAGATATCTAATAATGAAAATGTAGTCTAACCGTGTCAGCCTCTCATCTATTTTCAAACAATACAATCAGTTCAAGTAAAAAACACAATGATAAATGGTAACCATGATTGGTTTTCTCAACTGTACTCCACAAGCTTGAAATAACTTTGTTTAATAACCAAAGGGCTATTGATAGTAGCACTGGCATAAAAATATGTAACTGGCATAAAAATAGTTTGTCCAGTTTAAATTATTTAAGAGTATAGCTTAACAACTTTGTATGATTCAATATGATTTAAACAAGATCATTTATTTCTCCCTTATTATTATGTAGGTAATAACGTTACCTACACAGGAGTTTCCAAAATGGCTGGAGATGGGACATAAAGAATTTCCATGGGATCTCTGTGATGACATAAACGTTTTAGAAAACTTAGCATTAATAAGACCATGATTTTCAATTAAAAATCAAGCAGACTGGGAACACTGGGCAGGCTGATGGGAAGAAGGGAAGTACTGCAAAGGTTGACAGATATGTGGCAGGAAGACTGAAGCTGGGCAGCAGGATAGAAAAATTGGCAGCAAATGACTACAAAAACGGGGAGGGAGGAATGGAGATCTGATGTACAGTATACTTTGGAGCATGTATGAAATTGTGGAGAGACAGAAAAACTGAGGGTCTTAAAATATTAAAAAGGAAAGGTGTTACTGAGAAGTGGAATATATACTCTAGCATATGTTACAGTATGAAAGAGGTACTAAGAAAGTCAGCTGAGACTGCCAATTATTAGATATTCCCAAGCTACTTATAATACAATCCCATTGAGAGAACTATGAATTTAAAGAATCAACCCAATATTTTTGCTGTGCTACCAACGTTTCACTTTAAGCATGGATCTTCTGCTATTCTTTTCATTTAGAGCAATTAGACCATTATGACTTTTAAATATCTTTTAAATATCTTTTTAGCAATAAACAACTGGTTTATACCTCTCCCGAAGATCGTGTTATGCCCGGGATTCGCATTTTTGCAGCTATCAAGGACACACACACACACAACTTGTCCTCTTTACAAGCCCTCTTGCACCTTCCCTTTGCACCTAAGATGATTTCACAGAAAGGTAATTTTCTACTTAAGACTTCATTTTTATTAGGAAATGTTACATATATCAATTCATTCCCCCCTCCCATGAATCTTTACAAATGGTTATCCAATCTTTTCTTGAAAATCCCCAACGATGGAGCACCCACAAATCAAGGAGCCAAGAGGTTCCACTGATTAACCATTTTCATTGTCAGAAAAGTTCTCCTTATTTCCTGGTTAAATCTCCCTCTGACCAGCTTTCACCTATTGCTTCTTGATCTGCCCTCAGCTGTGGAGATTAAATTGACACCCTCTTCCCTGTGACAGTCCTTTAAGTATAAGAAGACCGCTATCATGTCTCCCCTGAGCCTTCTCTTCATAGGCTAAACTATATAATTCCTTTAGCCATTCATCATATGGTTTAGTTTCCAGACCCCTTATTATCTTTTTTGCTGATCTCTGCACTCTTTCTAGGACCTCAGCATTTTTTGTATTGTGTGTTCAACTTACCTATTATTTTGCAAATATTTTGGCAGCCTAGTCATAACTAGTAACTCCTTTAAAAAGTCTTACTGTATTTGTCATACACTTTTTTCCCTGGGAAAGTTCTGCTGATTTGCAACATCTCAAGACCGATACTGAAAATGTTTCCCCATCCCAAACATTTTTAGACTTCTATCAGTTAAATCCAGTATAACCAGTGATGATGGAAGATATAATCCAAATTAAAATATATACTGAACTCTTGAGCACAATCTAAATAATACCAAGCAAGCACTGTTCAAGAACTAAAAAAATATGTATATTTAACTTTCTCATTGAAATCAAGAAGGCTTAAAGCAGACATGTGAGACTCATGATGTCACATGACGTCACACGGCGTATCAGAACTTTTTCCCCATTGCCGGCAATGGGGTGGGCGCGGTTAACTTGTGATGCATCCAGCCGGCAGTTTGACATCCCCTGGCTTAAGGCTTCATATTGCATCAATTATTCTTCTAGCATTAGATTAGATTCAGCTGCTTTCTAGCTAACCTTCTAATTTGATGTTGCACCTTTCCTCACTTGACAATTGTGAGAAAATAAAATATTGGATTATATTTCATCTATACTTTAGCTCTTTTCAAGTCCATCAGACTCACTCGGCTTTTCTATGATGACATCTATCAAGCACATTATAGCCTATTAATTACTTTTATGAACTCCTGAGCTAGAGAAATTAACACCTGAAAATGACATGCTAGGCCTTACGGGTTTTTAAATCTATATCAACATACAGTACAATAGCTTGTGAACAGTGAGTCCCAATTGCTGCCAATGTACATTTTCCAGCAGGATTCAATGCAGCAACATAGATTATTAATTCAAGTATTTAAGATTCTTTCATAGAATTCAAGGTTAATAGTTTAGCTTGCCATATTAGTTTTATGTACACACACTTCAAAAAAAATGCAAACATAATTTTCCTTCTGCCAGTCTCTAACTGGTCTCCTCTCTTTCATCCATTTGAATTGCTGCCATAATTCAAGACATACCTTTCCCTGCTTCTTTCCTACAGCCATATTTAGGAGTGGCAAAGTAGCTGCTGTTTCATGGCTTGTAGTAAATCTGGTAAAATAACTATTTGTCCCAACTCCGCTTGCTTAGGGCCAAAGATTTATCCTAATGGTTCCTGTGGCTACAGAAATTTTACTTTTATTCGCACTAGACTTTATTTCACTTGATGTTTTTTAAAAAGTGCTAGCTTCCAACATACAATTTTTTTATTTGTAGCTACGTCTCTGTCCCAGAGCAGGCTTTCTGGAGTAGCAGAGGGCATCATAATGATGCAAATCTCTCAGTAAATTAATATTTTGTGACTGGTCATGCTACCACGTCTTTCCTTAGCCTTCCCTAATATTTTACTCTCTGAATCCAAGCTTTATCTGTGCTCTTCCTCAGGATCATAAGATCCTACAAAAAAAAAAAAAAAAAAAGAGAGAGAATACTTAAATATTTCTTTGTATGATACTTTTATAGCACAATCCTGTAACTATTTGTATATTCATTTATTTAAAAAATAGTGGTATAAAATTGTAAACATTCAAGAGGAAAAAAACATGTCTACTGTAGCTCAGGGACAGAAAAGCATTCCTCATCATTGAACCTCTTAAAAGGACTGCGAGAAGTAAAGGTGACAATATCTGGACAGACAGGAACCATGTTGGAGTTATCATCTTAGCCAGATAATTCCTATTCACATTCAGTCATGAAAGTCACATGACAGGTTGCTATCCTGGCAATGTTCTAAAGTAAAATGGGCAACCTTTATTTTTATGAAGGGCCACCTTTGGAAAAGTAGCATGTTAAGATGTTAAGAGGGCTGAAGCAAATGGTAGGCAGGGCCACCATTTGTCTTTGATACTCTTTTCTTTTTTGCTCTCTTTCTTCTCATATAGCGGGCTGCTGGGAAAGAGATAGGATTACCTTTGGTAGCAGTCTCAACTGCCTGCTTACAGGGGGTTCTAGAAAGTAATTTTAAGGTATGTTGTTTCATTTTTAATTCAGACCCATCCTGGATTGTGTTAACCTTTGGCCTGCTAATACCTCCAGCCCCAAGAAAATCCCTTTATGAAACCAAAGTTTCAGATGACCACTAAAGAGCAATCTGAAAGATGAGAGGAAAGTCACAAAAAGACAGCCTTACGGGTAATATAATTCAAGGAAGATAATATGGAGTTATTCTAGCAACCACGTGTATGAAATTACTACATTCATAGTATGCTAAATTATACACATACTAGTTCAAAATGGATAGCTCAAAAAAGTTACGGCTGAAAATATATATGCAGTACATACATACATGCAGTATGTAGTACTTCCCTACTTTATGTAATAGCCACTTATGTAAAGAACTTGGGATGAGGGAACTACCTGTTAAAGGAGAATGTCTGTTACATTCAAAAGGGACTTTGAATATTTATGTATCATATATATGCACAGAATTGGTAAATGGAATTCTGTATATATGCAGAAGCATGCAATATCAAGACAGCTTGGTCTATTGCATGAGATGTCTTCTTAATTGAGGGTTTACTGTGCCATTAAAATCTGATATCTAGACTTAAATATCTGAAAATAAAAATTACCTATATGATAATGTTATAAAGTATGTATACAATTGGCCGGACATAGTTAGGCTGGGTTGAATCATGCAGAAAGCATTTTTCATCCCAAACTGATTTAAGAGAACATATCCAGAAGGCAAAGTGGGTAAAAAGTCTTCCACAAAGACAGTGTTATAGCATTCTTTGATTATATTAACCCTAATCATCATGGTAATAATATATAAAAATTCTAATCTGATATCCCTGAATGCATCTACAGATATGCCTTGATTTATGACAATTCGGTTAACTAAGGGTCAAAAGTTACAACAGTATCAAAAAAAGTGGCTTATGTATTCTTGAAGTAATGACTATTGAGCCAACCTGTGATTACAATTTGGGAATTTGTCAACCAGCTTGCATTTATGATGATTACCACATCTTGCAGTCACATGATTAACATTTGTGGCCTTCCCAGATGGCTTTCCACAAAGTCGGTGAGGGAAACCGGATTTGCTAAACAACTGTATGATGCTACTATGTTTCCCTGAAAGTAAAGCCCTACCCTGAAAATAAGCCCTAGCTTGATTTTGAGGGGTGGGCCTAATATAAGCCCTACCCCCAAAATAAGCCCTAGCTTGATTTTGAGGGGTGGGCCTAATATAAGCCCTACCCCCAAAATAAGCCCTAATTTTGGGGCGAGGCGCATACCTAAAAATCAAGCTAGGGCGGGGGTGTGGAACTGCCTCACATGCCCTGCACCCATTTACCAGGCCTCTCTTGAATCAACACCTGCCTCTCCTCACTGGCCCACTTCTTCTGCAGCATCCGCCGGCCTACATTTCGCTGTCAGAAGCCTTTCCGGAAGACCTCTGCAGCCGAGAACCGAGCTACAGATTCAATCCGTAGCTCAGTTCTCGGGTGCAGAGGCCTTTCCAGAAGGTCTCTTGACAGTGAAATGCAGGCCGGAGCTCCATCGTCAGCTGCAGAATGAAATTACTCCTTCGGCTGCAGAAGAAGCGGGCTGGCTGGGCGAGACTGTTGGTGCCGCGGCGGCAAGATGAGTGGAAAAGACTTCCTCCAAAAATAAGACCGGTGCCTCTTTTGGAGGAAAAAAAAAAGACAGGGTCTTACTTTTGGGGAAACACGGTATTAACAACCACAGTGATTCGCTTAACCACAGGGGTAAAAATGGTTGTAAAATCCAGTTATGTGATGCCTTCTTTAATAACCACACTGCTTAGTGACTGAACTTCTAGTCTCAATTGTTGCAGTAAGAAGGATTAACTGTACAATTGTCAAAAATTGACAACATAAATTTCTTATCAGTCTGAGGCAAGTAATGTATAAAAATTGCAAAGCAGGCTTAAAAATGATGGAGCTTAATTTTTTGAAGAAAAACTTAAAACTTCCTACTGAAAACTCAGGAAATATTATGAAATCAGAAAATCCTGACCTCACAGATACAGGCCACATAGTTCTGCCCATTACTCTGCCAAGCATACTGCAGCTTCAGCTATCAAATAATTGCTCAACTTCTCATTATACCGTAACACATTTTGAACACAAATCTTTACTATGACTTCCACTCAGGGAAATTTTCTTATCACAACAAAAGACTTTTTTTAAAAAATTCTAACCAGCTCAATGGACAAAAAAGGAAGCTTAATTCAATACTCATTCTAAATGATATCATCACCATTGAAATGTAAGTCATTTTTACTGATTAATTTCAACAAGATCATTTTATAAACCACATAAATGTTAGGCACAGAGTCTTCAAATTCCAAAGAGCCTTACCTACCATGATAAGCAAGTCTGTAACTTAGCTTTGTAAAATGATGCCCTATAACAATGTCTGTTACAGTTGCATTAACATTACTGATTTTTAACTAAACATATGCATTTCATGAAGATGTTAAACGTTAGTCATGTTTTCTTATAAAACTATATAGAACTGTAAAGCTGTATTCTATGTTAACTATTTCCAGATTTCACTGGCACCTAGCAACTAAATGCACCAAGACACAAACACTTCTCTTAGCATCAGCTCTGTACCACTATTTTAAAAGATTCTTTCAGCATAATGTTTATTTCTAAGAATACTGCATTCTCTACTTATTTTCCAATAAGTGCACAAAATAAGAAAGCTAAAATGAGTAGGAAGCAATCTTTCCAGGCTGCTAATGGGTGTTTTGTGCTTTACTTTGAAGCTACATGTTTCAAATTTGCCAACCAGATTAAAAGCAGCATGCCCATTCTTTTCTTCCCCTATCCTTTTTCTCCAGTGAGTGTACTGTATATGTATGTGTGAGTATATCCATCCATCTATTATATAACAAAAGCTCAAAAAGCACTACTGTGAAGTACTGAAGTAAATGAAACAGTAACACCTTCTATCTATGCCTGTATCAAATGGCTTATCAACTATGCAAGAGAAGCGGCGGTTTTCCATTTTTTGTTAAAGAAGAATGTTAATGATAGTTCTAGAAACATCAGAGAGTAGACAAGCTACTAATACAACACTGTTTAAGGGTATGCAGTATACATGCTTGATATGTGAAACAACTTGCTGTTACTTTGTTTGTTTTATTGAATTTCACTTTATCCAGCTAAACCAACAGCACTGATGTTACTCTGTTTTCCAACCCTATTTCAGTTCTGCATAGTTCAAATATCATACCTGCAAAACAAAATGTAAGGTAAGACACTTTATCAGATCTATTAAGGCTATATATCAAGGAAAAACACAAGCACATTAGGTCCTAGACTGCTATGGATAATGCCAGAATATCCCTCCCACTAGCATCAATGGGCTGACAGACCTGAGAATTTGAGAGCAAGCATATGTGGTATATTTGTCACGGAAAACATATGGTAATATCTATGACAGTACATGATCAGTTCTATATATCCTTTAAATACCTTGTGTACTATGAAGATGTGTATATTGGAAATTCATTATACCAGTCTCTCAAATATTACAAGAATTAGCCTTCCTATAGCTGAGGGGTGTCAAACTCGCAAAGTCACGTGACGTGTTGTGACATATTGCAACTTTTTTCCCAGTGCCGGCAATGGGGTGAGCATGGTTTTGCCATGACACATCCGGCCCACGGGCCGGCAGTTTTGACACCCCTGCTATAGCTGCATGTGTTGCATAATTATAATACAATTACATTTTATAATCTGCTTACTATGTACTCTGCAGGAGTTAGAAATAGCATTACCTATGTTTGTTTATAAGTAAGGCAGTAAAAATGGTCATACACTATTAGACAGTAACCAATACCAAAAATTCTATATGCCTATCGGGCAATTTTAGTATATACCAGAAATTTGGTAGATAGTTATATTAGATATATAAACAATGCATCCTAGAGCGATTACATGCCATCAAGTCAGTGTTGGCTCTTAGCAACCACATAAACAGACCTTCTCCAGGATGATGTGTCCCCAATCTGATTCTTAAGGACTCCCAAGGGTACACCTATTGCTACTGTAATTGAAACCATCCATCTTGTTATTCTCTTAACCATTCTGTTAATTTGCAGTATTACAATTTTAAAAGGCTACTGGCCCCAATAGCTTTGTCTTTTTCAATTGCCAAAGTTTCTCCCTACATTTTTTAAAGTTTCAGGTTTCCCAGCCCTTTTGTATCTCATAAGGCTCCTTTTACAGGACATACAATTTTAAGCATCAAATCAATGACTTATACAATGTTCCTGGAAATACTTAACCCACAATAATGAATTTAAAAATGTAGAACTTTATGGTATAAATTGACAGTATTCATCTTCCTCTTCAGAATTGAAAGATTGATGCACGGACCAAAGTTCTCAGAAATCCTGCTGTATGACCTCAGATTCATAAGATGAAGATTTAAAAGTACAATCTTTTTTTGCTTCTTTGTAAATAAGGGAACAGGCTCAGCCTTACTAATAGGAATGCATTTGACTGGTTTTCCTTAATCAAGTATACTGTGGAAAAGACAAAAAAGATGCTTCCTCCAGTGCCATGTATTTTCTTTATACAGTTGAGCATGCATGTAAAAATTAGAAATCTTTTCCAAAGAAGCTATAATGTAGATGATACTGGGAATGTTTACAAATATACCTTTACCTAATGAACTCGATTAAAGGGTGTTTCACAGAATGCTCTGATGCAAGTTCTTCAAAACCAGAAAAATTAATGCTTGTGCCAGAATAAGTTACTTTGCAATATACAAATAAGTGCAGTTTTCATTCTGCCTGCAAGAAGGAAAGCTATATACACAGTAGCTTTCAAATACGTATGCCTGTATCAAGAGAGACGTTCTATCAGTTTTCCCTCAAAACTGATCATTTCTGCCAGTACTCTAAAGCTAGGAAGAAAGGATAACCCAATGAAGGAACGCTGAAATATCTATAGCAATAAGGTAGGACAAATGTATATTGTTTGGTGAGCGGACTTTTTTGGGGGGGTGGGCACAACTACAACATACCAGTATCCTCTTAAGCTGAGGCATCAGGAAAATTGTACACCCAGTCCATGTGGGATGCATAGCAACCCTCCAGCCCTTCTTTTACAGACCACTACTTTGCTTAAAGAAAAAGCAAAAACTGGGAGTGAATGAATCTTAACACTACTAAGCGAAGGATGAAAAGTCAGCAAAGGCTAGTAGTAATTGAGGTGGGAAAGGGAGGCCTTCCTGGCTCCGAGTCTGGCCACGAGGCTCACTGAAAGGCCACTCGCGCCCCCTTTGCGGAGCCATAAAGCCCTGCACCTCATGACTCGCCCCACCTTTCTGTGCAGCCACCCAGGAGGCGATAAAGGCCTGGACTCGGCAGAGACTGGGGGAGGGGGGGAGGCAGCAGCAGAGTGTTAGAAGAGTCCAAAGCCACTCCGGGCAGCGGCAGATGCGTCTCCTTTCAACACCCCGGAGGTCCGGTGGGAGAGGGAGGACTAGAGCGCCAGGGCGCGGTCGGGCAGGCTCGCTCACCTTTTGGAGAGATCCATGAGGACCCCGGAGAAAAGCTTCTCCCCGAATCGGAACGACACCACCAGCGCATCCTCAATGATGTGATCCAGGGTGACCAGCACCTCTGAGCCCGGCAGCAACAGCGTCTCCTCCCCCGCTGCACCGGCAGCCACCGGCTCCACAGTCACCGAAAGCTCCGGTTGCTTTGCAACGCTTGTGGTGGTACTGGCGGCGGCGGCGACGGCAGCATCCGGCTCCTCCTCCTCCGGCCGGGGCGGCTCCTCCCCGGGCTCCGGCCCCGCGGGGCCCCCAGCTGCAAGCAGCAGCGGAGGTACCAGCGGCAAGGCGGGCTGCGGGGGCTGCTCGTCTGCCTCCTCCTTTTCAGAATGGCCGGAGAGGGTCGCCGTGAGCGAGCGAGGCTGAAGAAGCTCGCCCACGGGGCCCGGGTTGGGCTGGGCCTGCGGCAGGTCTCGGGTCCCCGCTGGGCTCTTGGGCGGCGACGGCGGCTGTTGAGCCTCTCCGCCCGGAGCTGGCTCGGGATCCTCCCTGGCGTCGAGCACCGCCGACTCCACGGCAGCCTGCGTGCCGGCAGGGAGCGCGTCTGCGCCGGCTTCGCTGCCTGGCATGGGCTCGACCTCGCCAGCTCCCCCATCACCCGGCACCGCCGCAGTCGCAGCCACGGCCGCCATTTTCTCTGGTGTCGCTTCCTCCTCCCTCTAACCAGCAGCAGGATCGATAACCGTGGCCTTCTTCCCCCGCCTGGCTAGGAGGGGGGACGCCGCCTATTGGGGAGGCAGGGATCTTCCCGATCCCCAGCTCCTATTGGGAGCGGCAAAGACCCATCAAGCGCAGATGTAACTTCCCATTGGTTTGGGGAGGAAACGTTGACGTTGAGGGCAGGAAGAGGAAAAAGAGGGCGGAGATCCCGGTATCTGTGTCGACAAAGATCAAAAGGGGGCAGGTTAATGAGCAGCTCTTTTTCTATTTGTGGGGAGGGGGGGAGAAAAGCCCGCCCCCTCTCGCGGAAGCGTCTCATTGGCTTTGCAAGATGTCTAGTGAAATGTAGGTTTTAGAGCAAGCTAGAAACCCTGATCTTTGCCCTTTCCTCCCCCCTGCGGGGCTGCGCAAGAGTGAGGTCGTATGAAGGAGCAGGGAAGGATTTTTCCCATTCTCTGGCACTCGGGCTTAGGGACTGCAACAGTCAAAAAAAGCACAGCGTTGTAGGAAGCTCGAACTTCCAGGGTGGGAGGGAGCCTGAACCTATGCTTATAGTTTCTCGGACGAACACATGGAAATCGCTCTGCGTAGCGTTAGCCATACCGGCCCTAGAAACCCAGAGAAGGAAATTGAGGGCGGGGAGAGAAAAACCTTAGCGAGGCCCATGGGTCGTCTTGGAAAAGGAGAGGGTGGGAACCGGGATAAGAATGGAAAGCGCTGCGCCTGGACTTAGGAGTGCTCAATTTAACTGAATGGAAAGTTCACCTTTGAGTACACCATGGCTCTCCTACAATGTTAGAAGGCCTGGAGAATTACTCTTTGAAAACAAATGCAAAATCTTGAATGTGTGGAATCATTTGCACACTTAGTTGGATCCCAATTGCAGCATATCAGATGTGCTATATAAGTTCTCATTTTGCAAGATACATCTGTGTCAGTATGCAGCTACATTTTTGTAGATATATTTTTAGGAATCACCTCTATCAATAAGGAATCGTTGGGGTTCAAATGAGTCAGATATTAAGTCCAAGCCCTCCCACCCAAAAAAGCAGCCTTAAAGAAGGATATTTCAATTGTATGCAAACTTGATTTGCAACTAATTAGAGCAGCGGTTCTCAACCTATGGGTCGCGACCCCATTTGGGGTCGATCGACCATTTTTCGGGGGTTGCCAAAGAAGGCGATCAGCCATTTTCTCCCCCCAGGGGGCGGCGCCGCGCATGCGCACCGTGCATGGGGCGGTCCCGTGCATGTGCACCGTGCACGGGGGCGCATGCACACCGCGCATGGGTGCATGCGCACTGTGCATGCGCGGCCCTGCCCCATGCGCACAGCGCCGCGCATGCGCAGAACGTTTGTGTGACTGGGGTCGCCGTCACACAAACGTTGAGAACCACTGAATTAGAGGTATTGAGCCAAACAAAAATTCAGAATAACAGAGTTGGAGGTCTTCTAGGCCAACCACCTGCTCAGGGAGGAGACCTGAGGTTGTCCAATCTCTTCTTAAAAACCTCCAGTGTTGTGCAAGAGAGAGCTCATAAACACATATACTGTATAAATTAGAGGATTGAGCACCAAATGCTGAGAATATCATGTAATTCAGCAGTTAAATACAGGTATTATATCTGGGTTTACAATCAATGGCAGACAGTCAATCTATTCATTGTAACAGAGTCAGCCAATGAAAATAATTGATTCTGCCTCAGTCATGATGTAAATTATTTTATTCACAATATCGTTTGAAATTTTGGAAAGTTGGAGAGGGGAATCGTTTACAAAATAAGGGAATTTGCTAGATTTAGGAAGGCCTCAGACCTTTGGGAGATGAATGCCTTGAATTTTATTCTTTTCATGAAAAGAAGGAAAGGATTAAAACCAAAGGGAGCACTTTGACTTGTTAAGTGACTGCACAACTATTGTGCAGTGAATGTTTGATGGGGTCTTGTAAGGTCAATTCACAGTAGATGGTTATAGGAATGAAATAGCTATTGCTGGTCCTCTTCATTTTAACTGAAATTAAATATGTTTTTTAGACTTGAGTCCAATGTAATAAAGCATTGTGTCGAATACTATATTTCTTTGGCACATATCCTTCATAACTCATTCTTGAACACACTTAATTCAGATGAATAAAAAGACTTCCTTAGATACTGAGAGAAAATAGCTGTAGAAGAATTTAACTGCTACCTTCATATTTCAACATGCTTATTCAATTGAAAGAGGTAATTACTAGGGGAAGTAAACATCAATATTAAGAAAAATTTAGGGGGAAAATTGCCCTATTTCTGATGGGTTTATCTCAAACCTCTAATGACAAGTTTAAAAAATTACAACTCTTTAGAAATTTGTTTTGAAATGTAATTTTAATTTCTTATTGGTCCAAATTAAGCTAATGACAGTAATCCCTCCTCTTAGGTAATTTTTTACTATTATGATAAAAAGATACCTATCTTTATCATTGTACAGTATATTCTCTTCTGTATTAAAATAATTGGATGCATTTTGTGGATTTAATTTTAATTGGTTGATATAAACTAATAGGATCTGGGGTGGTCCTGTACTGTTAAATTGGATGTTCATCCAGATTTTTGCAGCCAGGTATTTTTTGCTGTTAGGGCCTCGTGATCCAAGAGCCTGGAGCTGATTACTATAGAAACTAGTCTCAATATATAATTCTCTAGTGATATAATGACTGCTGCAGCATCCGTAGGGTCACGTGATCAACATTCAGAGGTTTGGCAACTGACTCATACTTATGACAGTTGCAGTGTCCCGGGATCAAGTGATCACCTTTGGTGACTTTCTGACAAGCAAAATCAATGGGGAAGCCAGATTTACCTTACAAACGTGTTAACAACTGCCAGGATTCACTTAACAACTGTGGCAAGAAAGGTCATAAAATGGGACAATATTCACTTAACAACAGTCTTGCTCAACAATGGAAATTTTGGGCTCAAGTTGAGGATTACCTGTACAAGGTTGAGCTGAAAAAAAAAAACTGCCCCACATAGCCCCATGATGTCCATAGCTGGGTAGGGGCATGACCCTAAGATCCACCTCCAACCACGTTCTCTAAGTCCATATTATACTACCACTTTTTGCTGTTGTGGGAGGTTCTGCATTGTTAGCAGTGACAGCTGTTGATTGAGCTGATTAAGCAGTATCTGATTAGATTAGAACTGGATGAGAAACTGTCGGGATTGCTGGGTACTAGACTGTGACAGGGGCTAGTGACTAACTTTACACCAAACTACTTCGTGCAAACATAGCATTAATAATTTGCAACAGCTTTAAAGAATAATTTATTTGTTTAGATTTTTATCGCTTTATTATTTTTTATAAATAACTCAAAGCGGCAAACATACCTAATACTCCTTCCTCCTCCTATTTTTCCCACAACAGCAACCTACTGCACAACTCAAGAAGAACCTTTTTTTATACCTGAATGATTTATGGTGGGTGCACCTACACAATACACAATGCCACAATATGGAATTACATAATTTGAGCCCCCTTTTCCAGAGGATGTTTTTTCTGTATGCCAATCATGCAGATATATATATTTTTTCATACTTCCCAAAGGGTTAATTTGGATCATGCAAGGTGCAGTGATAAATGAATGTCACCCTCTTATGCCTGACCTTATATCTTGCATGCATTTGGTTGGCAAGTACTTTGTCTAATGCAAATTATCTCTGAAGGCTTGCAAATGTAGCTAGGTGCTTTTCAACCTTATTAAGATGGAAATAGGGTTGTCAACTTTTCAATCAGCCTTTATTAACAATGCACTGAAGTATCTCTGTGGTTTCATCTGTTGAATGCCTGAAAGGATTTGAATCCAAGTAAGATTTGTTGGAAAGTGGAATACCCCTTAAATCAAGCAGCAGTGGATACGTTTAGGAAGTCATTATTCACTAGGAGTGGGGAGACCCAGGTTGAGCTCTCTTCTTAGCTTGACAGAACTTATATGGTGACTTTGCTGTTTTGGGAAAAAATTGAAAGCAGTGCTTGAAATCCTGAATGAAAGGTATGATATAAATATATTTTTTAAAAATTAAAAACACGAATGAGCCACAATTTGATAGGTTTATACATCTTAAATTATAAATTTTATAAATCATGATGCTTAGGTCACAGGACACATCTATTTATTAACCTTTGTGCTAAGGCTATGCATGATGCCTGTTTCCTAATCTATTGTTTTGTGTCTGTCTCTATATAGACTGAAAAAAAGGAAATATCCTGAATCATAAATAAAAGAATTGGCAAAATAATAAGAGAGCCAACTGAGAACAAGTTTGCATGTCATATAAAGCTGTAGTGTGCTTAACCTTAATACATTGAATTAATCACAAATGGCTGAATTCCCAGCACACGTGCTATATCTAATGGTTTACAAGTTACAGTTGTCTGAGTTGACCCAATATCAGAACTAATATCAGAACTAATCAAGCCAGATGTATTCTAACATAAGCTTTGAGGTTATGACTGGATTTGAGTTAACTAAAAATAAATATACTGGCAGATGACTCTTAAGAAAATGCACTTATGTGAATATATTCTGTGTCTTTAATGGAAAGAGAGCCAGTCCACATGGCTTACATGGAAAAAGTGCTATTATTTAATGTGCCACACCAAGGTTAATATTGTTCCAGGATAATGAGTTCCTGCCCTCATTTGTGTGAGGTTGACTGATAAGCAGTTCTTGTGGAGTTTTGTACTATGAAATATAAATGTACTGAAGAATTATGTGAGTCATATTCATGATAGTTTTCCCTTGGCCCAGAAAAAAACCCTGTGTAGCTGTGTAGCCTTTTACTTGGTATGAAAACATCTGCAGTGTTATTGTGGAAGGGTTGAAAGTAAAAAAAGTATTTTCCATAAGACGACAGACTTTATTATTGCTAATACTGGTACAGTATTTTTGCTGTAGAAGACATCCCGGAAGGAAGGAAGGAAGGAAGGAAGGAAGGAAGGAAGTCAATAAAATGATATAGCTGTCATATCATTACGAAAAGGGTGAGAAGGGGAGCCCACCCCATCTCTCTCTCTCTCTCTCTCTCTCTCTCCCTCCCTCCCTCTCTCTCTCTCTCTCAGTGGGAGAAGAAGCAGGACAAGCTTCTCCTTTGATAGGCGAGTGCCCATGGACTAAGGAGAAATGCTTGCATTAAGAAACACTTGATAACACAATGGTAGATTTTCATGTTGAAAATGAATTCTTCAGCAACTGTGTTCTGCTTTACAT